GGGATGCCTGGTAAGGCATGATCAAGGGTAACGTAACAAAGAGGAATTGCTGAAACCCTGGTGGGGACTGAGCATGATAGTGGGACAGGAGGAAAGTCAAGGGAAACGGAGGAAAGAGCTGGGAGGCAAAGGGCATTTATAGAGAGCACATTTTATATCCATGATTCTAATCGTTCATCTTCTATGTGTTTTGAAAATACGGTTTCCCAATCCATAGCTTGCCTTTACATTTTCTAAAATGTGTTCTTTCAAAGAGCAATGGTCTTACATCTTAAAAAGTCCGCTGGCCTGTCTGATGTCTTCATTAGTATGATTCACGTTGTGTCCTAAAAATGTTCCCCCAACGAGAAAGTCACCCAGCTTTCCTCTCGCCCTTCATGAGCTGTGTCTCCCTAACCTTTCAACTGGCCGGTCCCATGGGAGCTTTATCACCGTGATCCATCTTCTCAAAGGACTATCTTTTGATTTTATTGATTCACCGCTAATGTTAGTTATTTCGATTGCTCTATGCTTTCTGCTCCTATTATCGTTTCTTCTGGTACTTTGGGGTGTAATACCTTTTTCCTCCTCATGTGCAAGACTGGATCACTGAGTTGAGGCCTTCTTTTTCCAGTAGAAGCGTTTCATGCTACTTCTGTCTCTCTGAGCCCTGATTTAGCTACAGTGCACACATTTCGGTCTGTCTGGTCTGCATTCTCATTCGTTTAAAAATAGTTCCTAATTATCCTTGTGATTTCTTCTCTGACCCGTGGATCAACGAGAAGTGTGATGTTTAATTTACAAGTAGTTTGGGAGTCTTCCAGGCATCTTTGTTGTTGTTGGCGACTAGTGCAACTTTCCTGTGTTCGGAGAACTATCTGGTTTCTGGAGACTTCTCTCACAGCCTGATGCACGGTCTATCTTGGAGGAGTTTCCTCGGCTCTTCAAGAAGAAGGTGCACCGAGGGAATGGCTATCAGAAAGGCACAACTCACTTTAAATTGATACAAAACCTTACTTTGGATGGCTGTAACAGACAAATATGTTAATATCATCAAAATATATGAAATTTCGCAAATGACAGGCAAAAAAAAAAAAGAAGAATGTGCATTTTGATTTTGTGAATGGGCGTGCTCTGTGAATGCCAATTGGGCCCTGTTGGTTCGGGACGGGGCTGATAGTGGCTGCTTTATTGTATCCAGCAGTGCGGTAAGGGTATTGGGAGAGGCACTCAAATCCCAAGCCGGCATTGGCAGTGCTTGGATCTTGATTGATTTTTGCTGCTTGGAGTTTGAAATCCCGCACATGCATTTAGAGCAGGGGTCCTCAAACTTTTTAAACAGGGGGCCAGTTCACTGTCCCTCAGTCTGTTGGAGGGCCGGGCTATAGTTTAAAACACAACTATGAACAAATTCCTATGCACACTGGACGAGTCGGCTGCTAAGCAGGACAGGCAGCAGCGGCAAAAACACCC